TACAGCTTGAATTAATATCCTGAATAATACACAAACCTACTAGGGAAAAAAAAAAAAAAAAGCTGATTGTCTATTTCAGTAAATGTCTGATTACATTTAAAACTCTGTGTGTGTATTATTTTGATCCCTCATGCACTCTGAAGAATAGAGGTTTGAAAGTAGCATTTCAATTTTTTATAGAACCAGTATCTAGCAGGGATATTACAATGTGAAGATTAGGTCTCACCTCCTTGTAACAAATAAATTGAGACCAAAATTAAGTGAGTTGCCAGGGTCACCCGCTCAGTTAGTAGCAAAGGCAGGTTTAGAATGCGGCTCCCACATATATATTTTTTCCCTAATGAACCTAGTTAACCCAGTAGTGAGAATGAGGAGAAAAAATAATTTGAAACCATGTGAAACTATCCATAATTACTGCGCCACGGGAGAAATTCCATTTAATGTCTAGTTTGTCATTTCTGAACCTTAAGATGTTTTTTCTCCTTCACTTTTTGTTGTGCAAACAGACATTTTGTACTCCTACTGGAAACCCAGATGTCTTATCCAAATCATGCAACATTTTAATACAAAATTAAAGTAGACAAAAAAAGTGCTGTTGGTAGCAAATCAACGGATCTTACAGAGGGCAGTTGTCAAACAAGAATAGTAGAAAGGAGGATGCTTGTTGGAGCAGCTGTAACCAATAACATTAAATCTCAAGTCTTGTGAAAGTCCCAGATAATTTGACAGGGACTTATGGCCCAAATCAGTTTAATCTCAGCACATATCCAGCTCTACCTTAAACAGCAGTTTTGTGATGGAGCATTTCTAAGGTAACAATGGGAACCAGGTTCCCTCTCCTTACTTGGGGTGTCACCCAAAATCTGTGGGAGAGAGTGGAAATCGGTGTCACTGTGGTTTAGTTGGGTCCCTCTAGAAAGCACAAGCCTTATAAGTATAGTATAGTGATAGTTTAGTCAAATTCTCAGCTCTTTTGTGTATCTGCCCACACCTCCTTTTCTCTCTTCTTCTTCTTTCCTCTCTCCATTTTTCCCTTTTCTCATCTCTTAGTACTTAACCTTCAGGTTTCTGTTTAGGATACCTATCAAAGTAGAATCAATAGCCTGGTGCTTAATCACACTCTTTGCTGCTCCAAATGTCAGGTTTGGGTTTGTTTGTAGAAGGGCTTCTGCATGTCTTTCATTTTTAGCTCTGTTCAGGATGTTCTGTACCGGTCAAATCCATTAAGAATGAAAGCTTCTGCTGCATGTGAGTGTCCTAATGTCTGTTGTGGTACACATGGCATACATCTGAAATTTCAGGTGATGGTTCAGAGCGTCAAGAGAAGAGTTCTGTCCTGGTGCTTTACATTTTCTCATCCTTCCTTCCTAGTTGAAATCAGTAAGGATCAGTTTCCTAATCTGTTGAGCTGGCTAGGGCATAATCTAACTACCTGTAAATAGATGTGAGTGAGTTTAAGCATTCTCTTACCACAGGGAAGATGGTAAATGAAGCACAGAATGGTACCAAGCAGCTGTGAGTACTAGTAGAAATGAAATCCTTACTGCTTGTTTGGTAAAACAGACAAAGCAAGAGACTGTAGCTTGGTGCATCAGTTCCAACTAAGAGCCTGTCAAGAAGCTATTTCTTCTCTCCAGTAGTAAAAGTTGTAGGTTTTAGAAACTTGTTTGTGTAACAGGTTTGAAGAGTGGAGGAAACCAAAACGACGTACGCAGAGTCGAGTGCACATACTCCTGTACAAAGGAGTACATGAAGGTGGCTCCTGACTGATCTCTTGATCCTTGGACAAAACTGAGGAGAAAGTCTAACAAATGCATCGTTTTGCAGTAAATTAGATCAGATTTCCGCATCTCCGCACTCAGTCTGTGAGCTGACAGTTCGGTAAAATGTTCCCTTGTAAGGTTCGCCCTCTTAGGAAAAGGGGCAATAATTCATCATTAGAATTTCAGAGTCCAGGTGTAGATGAAAACTGATGGAGCCTCCAGCGAGGCAGGGAAAGTGCACAGAAGAAGAAAATTTTATCTGAAGCCTAATTCCCTGGTTACAGCAGAGAATAATTAAGATAATATTGCTTCAAGAGTTCTTTAATGATTAAAAATCACATATGCAGAATCCATAAATTGGAGGGCAACAAATTGGAAGGATACATCGCCGGAGATCTGTTTTGTGCACGTTGTAGTGGGAAGCACACCGGTGGCACAACAGCAGCCTGGGCAGCCACAGGAGACCAGGCCCATTCCAAGGACTTTGTTTAGATGCAACAAATCATTTGTCTGTTATTAACCCAGAGCTTGTAATTATGCAGATTGCCATAGATTTTCCTGGGCCTGGAAGTGAGATTGAGGGTTGTTCACACTATAGCAGGCAGCTCAGGGCTGGCCATGCATTACTGAACTTGCCACATTTATCATGTTGACTGATGGCAGCAGAAGCAGGTCTCAGGTCCCAGTGGTTAATGTAGTGGGTAATTAACTGTCATTTGCCTAGTAATAGGCTGATGATCAATGGTTTGTGTGGAAACAAATTCTAATCAGGTAGCTGATAAATGCTCAGGGAGCGAGAGCAATTGAAATTGGGGGAAACTATGTCCAGAATTTCAAAATGGCATTGTGGGGTTTTTATTATTATTATTAATGGGGGGAAACTATGTTCTTCATATAAACAGCTTTATCCAAAATTAACAATAGCTAATATAAATCTCACAGGTTTGTTTTGCGTGTGGTTCGGAAGAACTAACAGCAAGGAGGGCCCCCTTCCCTTTACATAATTGAAAAATTTTAATGTATCTGGTGCTTAGCTAAATCAGCTTCTGGGGGGGGTCTCTCATTTCAGGACTGCAGAAATCTACACATAGTGGACTCTGGTGCAGTAAATCTCCATCCTCCGTAGCGCTGAATGACAATCCCAAATTGTTTCACTGCTCTGCAACATGCAAACTGCAATGCTAACTGCAGTGGATTTCCACTTTCTCACACCCACAGACACACCTCTGCAGAAAGGACGTGGCTGTGGGAGGTGGCGCAGCCTGCACATAGCACCCTCTCCAGCAAAGGGCTTGAGCTGCATCTCAAGTGTTCAGTTATTGCACTTAAAAATGAGTGAGCGCTGGGGTGCTGTGATCTCCCTGCACTGAGCTCGAAGGCAGGGCGAATGCTCTGATGCCTGTGGTTGTAGAGCCTTCAAGCCTGACTTTCCTTTCACTGTACCTGTATAGCATAAAAGTGCTATGTACCCACAGTCCTTACTCGGTATGTTTTACAGCCTGATTTGCTGTCCTCATGCAACCAAACTGCTCTCATCTCCTTCACAGATGTGAAGGAAAACAGAGCTGGTGCTTTGGTGCCTGAGTATTGTCTTTTCTATTGCAAAGCCAGCCAACAACTGTGGAAGGCAGCTAAGTCTTGTGTCCTTCTTACAGATGAGGAATGGAAGTCTGAGTGGGATTCAGATAACCTCTGCAAAACTCATGAGTGATGGAGGTAGAACTGGAACAGAATGTTTTACAGAGGGAACATTTACAACCTGTTAAAGAATCTATAATTTTAGTAATCAGACTTAACTAGAAGTTGACTTGGGTGACTCTAACAAGAGCAATGAGGATGGCCTTGTCCCAGCACTGCTCCCAGGGTTCACAGTAACCAGCATCTCCGACAGAAGAAAAAGGGACACAAATTTGAAAACAAACAGGCCTATTATGTAGGCAGCACACCTGAAGTAGAAGCAGAAAGTAAGAGGACTTGGAATTAAGTAGGCTTGTTGGTAACCCATGAAATTCAGTAAAATGGAGGGATGTGATGAAAAAACTGTGTTCATTTTTATGTTACCAAACTGAATTTTCTACAGAGCACCTTTGAATTCATTAGTTTAGAACTGCTTTTAATTTGGTGTTTCCCTTGAGAGCCATTATATTTTTCTGCTGTCAGACTGATGTTGAGGAAAAAAAGAAAACTGGCAGATGTGGCGTTTTCATCTAGTGTGCTTCATAGTTAAAAACAGCATTAGCTGCTATGCACAAGCAGAGCATTACTTTTAATAATCCATCACAACTATTAAGTAGTTTAAATAAACTTAGTTTCAAAGATTGCTGCCATGTAGAGCTAACGTATTTTTTCTTGTTCATTATAATCCTTCTGTGTCACAAAAGGATGCATATATATGTTTGGGGTTTTTTTGTAATACACCCACTTGAAAAGAATTGAAAAATCTTCAACAAAGAGAATTTAAAAAAAAATTTATATAGATGCCTGGCAAAACTAGCATTTCATATTGTTCTTACAGTATTTTATACTTCTACTCCTGATGTGACTATATATAGTTTACAGCCTCATTTACTTTAATGTGCTACCTGAATAACATAATCATAGCAATAACTATGGTATAGGGTTGTAAGGTGCATGAACTGCTAATGCTTTCTGACGATTTAAATGACTTGTTCATGAAATGTTCTTTTAATAATAGTGGTAAAGCTTTTAGCACTAGATGTCAAAAATGCGAAGAATATTGGCTTTTTCAAGTGTTATTTCTTTTCTAGCTAAAGTGTGTTTTAATAATAAATAGCACCAAAAGCCAAGGTTATGTGGCTCTCATCTGTATGGCAGGATCCAAGCAGAAGACTCTTCCCATGTATGCAAACAGCTTGACCTCTGTCTGCACAGTTATGTAACATCCCTAATGTGTTTACTATTTCTTTGTTTAGTTTAACAAGATGTTTCTTTTATCAAGAAAGGTCGGTATAACCTGCAGAAAAAAAAATATCATCACAATAAGTGCAATATCAGTCTGTCAATGCTTCATAAAACTCTCCAGCAAAAAAAGACTATGCTGTAAATTGGGCAGACTTTTACCACTAAAGACCAACCTTTCCAAAGGGATGTGTGCTGGGAAGTGGACCAAAGGCCGGGCAACTGCTGGGGGAAAAAAATATAAAAGACAAGGAAAAAGCAAGTGTGGTTTTCTTTTCAGTTAAGCATCTTCAGGAATATTTCTTTCTGTGTCTCCAGGTTATTTGGCGTTACAGGAAACTGTGCTGCCTGCAGTAAACTCATACCTGCTTTTGAGATGGTGATGAGAGCAAAGGACAATGTTTATCACCTGGACTGTTTTGCATGTCAACTTTGTAATCAGAGGTAAGAGAACTTCTTGGGTCTGTTCCATAAGCTAAGTGCTAATTCTGCTCTGGTGTGGGCGTACATTCAAGTGAAGAGGAAACATCTACCAGTAGTGGAAACCCAAGACTGAGATTAAAACCTGGATACTTTTCCTGGGACCGATAAAGAACATCTTGCATGACCTTGGCCAGCAAACTTCTTGTGCCTCAAATCCCGCATCAATAAAAAAGAATAATGTTACTTCCTCTCCTTCAAAAGGCTGTCTGTCAAGTTTAATTAATTAATATTTATAGAGGACTTTAAGATCCTTTTCTGCAGAAGAGCATAGCAGTACCATTTGTCACTATAGCATTCATTTCACTTTAAATCTTAATTTTTATCACATGTATTTCTTTTAAAGTACATATTGTTTCTTCCTGTTGCCAGAACTGTAACAATTTAAATTTAAAAGATATTGTTCCCACCATTTTCTCTGTCGCATCACAGAACTTCTTACACTATATTTTTATTTCTTCCATATCCCAACTATATGTTTTAAAAGTCCCAATGATCCAATCCTAACACTTTGTTCTGGAGCATCACCCATATGGTATAATTGCAGATTGAGTGTCAAAAATAGTAAAGTTGTAGCAATTCAAGTTTTCTATGGTGAATACAGATGAATTTATAGCAACTACATGCAGAGTGGTGGCCAAATCATGTCAGAGATTTCACTGAGAGCTCCATTTCTGACTCCATGAGAGCTGCCAGCAGCTTTGCCAGAGACTTCTCTGAGGTCTAGGAAATGAGAGAACCAGTTATGTCTGCTCCTTAATGTGCCTATTATTTTCAGTTATTTTTCAGTTATTACACAATCCTACTTAAAGTTTTATAGCATTCATATTTGTTTTCATTTTCAGATGGGAAGAAACACAAGATGTACTTTTCTAGGGAAGTAACAAAAAATTAAGAAGATATAGTCCAACATGACAAAGTCAGATACAGGTCTAAATAAGCTTTGCTAACTTACCTTGTCCTACAGTGTATTATTTTGTAACACTGTATTAATTTAAAAATCAAACATCCCTAAAGAACCATAAAATGTACAGCTGCTAATAAGTGTAGCACACTACAATTACGCTCTTTAAAAAAAGCCAAATTGACCTTTTTCATCATGTTGCATGGGAAATTAAAATACCAGGCAAGTAATAACCAGTGCTTAAACTATATAATAATGCAAAGTAATTATAGGTTCTAATGCTGTTTAAAGTCTTATATCAATTTTGTCTTGCCACAGAACTAAGAGGCTGTATTCTAAGGCAGACAGAGCCTCCCATAGTACTCACTTAAATAAGACACATGCACACTCGTAGGTTTTGTTTCTTAAACCCTCCACATGCCTGGTTTTTCATACCACAGTTCTACTATCATTATTAAAGTGCCTAATATATTTCTGTTGTTCGCTTCATTTATTACATGCCATAATGGGGCTGCATATCTTTAGCGTTGGTTATGCACAATTAGCACTTAGTTATTGTCTTGTCACTTCAGCCCATACAAGACAAACTTCTTTAATGTAAGAAGTCAGCTAATCTTCATCAGTCAAGCAAGGCAGACAATGTTTGTTACCCTGAGCGCAAAACATTTTCATCATAGTTACACTCTTGGATCTAAGGAAGTGAACTTTCTTTTTCTCCCCCTCTCAAAAGGGAAGCTGTTGTGATTATTTTTAATATTCCTCTTTTACCATTGTAATTATGAACTAATGTACAATTTCACTTTGCAGCTAATATACATCCCACTGTGCCTTAGTGCCACCGATCCCTCAGGAAAAGTGCTGTTAGGTTCTTCTGAAACAGTTTTCCTGGAATATTTAATAATTGTTAGTTTTCTCATTTCTGAGCTCTCGATCTAGTCTTTTATTCGATTTTCACTTTGCATGTAGTTTGGGCAAAGGGTTGCTGAAACAGTCGTACAGGAGTCTTAGGCTGGGAACAAAAGAATTGATTTACCTGAAATATAGTCAAGTTCATCCAGTCAAAAAAAGGAGCAGTTCCAGCAGTTTCAAAGAATTTCAGAAATTCTCAAAAGTGGCCCTAATCCTGATTATATTGCAATAGCTCTCACAGAGCCTAATAAAACAGACTGCCCAAGGGTGCTTTTTGTCCTCACAATTTGGGGCTAGTGGAACTCTGAAGAATGAATTTTGTTGTTTTTAATAATAAATCCTATTTCATGGACATTACAGCATAGCTCTTCTGTGATTCCTATGGCAAAGCATCCCACTGACTACAGTCTCTCATTAATAAATAGCCTTAAATCTTCTTTTTTTCCATTACTTGCATAACAACAAAAAATAGCAATGCTAGACACCTGGCCCATTACCAGTTTTGGAGGTTTTTTATACCTGCTTTGAAACCTCTTTTTCATTTCTTTTAAACAGAATAATCTTGTCAATCACCATGCCATTAACAATTTCTGTTGCCCTTCTCAGGATCCCTTCTTCTTCCTCTAGTTAAGCTAATCAAAACCAAACTGCAGATTCTGGGTGAGGACGAGTTTATACGATAGCAGTTTAATTTAATTTTCTTTCCTTATTCCATGCTGCCCCTTTGTATGCAATGCAGTGTAATTGAGATTTTTTTAGCTCTGTTCTTTCCTTTCGCTACATGTTAATGCTCCTCCATCCCAAATGTAGATTTTACTTATTGAAGAGAATGTTTTTATTTACAAACACCAACCACATCCAAAAATCACCAACAGAGGTAGAGAAGCTCACCAGCTATTTTAAGACCTGTATGTTTGACCTTATTCCCCGCCTTCACTTTCTTTTCCACCATTAAATTCTTTATCCCAATAGAAGTACAATATATCTGGAATATTCCTGCAGAGTATATAATGCTCTCTGTTCAGTTCTGTGTTTCAGATTCTCAGTTATCATCTACCATTTAGGGTTTTTTTCTTAACAGATATATATGCAAAGTTCACAAGCGGACTAAATAGTTTCTTCAGTTTGCATTACTTTGTCTTCAACACTGAATTTCTTCTGACATTCTGTGCCTGGTTGCTCCTTCAAGTCCCTTCTGCCTTCCAAGCTAGCTAATTATTGCATTAACTCACATCACACTGATCTTTGGGGCAGCCCATTCTCCAAGCTTGCTATTGTATGACCTTCATATTCCTGGCCTTTAAATAGTTGATCCTGGCCTGGTGAGAGAGAGGCCTACCTGTTTTTGCCTAGTGCTTTTTGTGAAAGGCTGGGTGATTTTTCTGCATTTATGTACAACTTCACTATTTGCTGTATTATTTTTGAGTACCTACGACTCATAATCCAGCTCCAGTCTCAGTGTGGATGGTAGTTAGACCCCCTTGATTTCAGGGGCTGTAAACTCCATCTCTGAACTAACTCATAATGTGCCTGTCCCCTTTTATTGGCCTCCTGAAGGCTACATTTTCAGAGTGAGAAGAAAACTGCATTGTCTCGCATGCTGTATTCTAGGAAGACAGACTGTAGACAGAACTGTAGACATAGACAGGACTGAAAGAGATCTCCTGAGCCAACAAGCCTCGTCCCCTGGTGTCAAATAGGCACGGTCTCTTATTTTTCCTTTCACGAACATATTCAGCTCTAGGATCTAATTGCTCCAGCCAGCCAGTTTTTGACATATTTTCCCCATTTTTTCTTGCTACTGATGCTTAAAGCTGTAGGGATTTTGTGAATATTAAGCTCTGCTCCTAGCCTAAAGGTTTTAGCATCCCCTTATCTTTCATGTCTCTTTCCAGCTTACTCCTAATTTGAAGTTTTTCCATCTCCTAAATACCTGCAGAGCTTAGTGACTGTCATCTTAATGGCATGAGTGCTCCTCTTTCTTCTCTGTAAACATATTAAACTTCTCCTCAGAAGCACTTCACCTCACATTGGCAATAGTCGTGGTGTATTTAATTTCTGCAGAAAATTTAAAGGAGAAAAAAAAATGGAAACCACTGGAAAAATGAACTTGTAAACAGACACTGCCTTTCACACTTTGTCAGGTTGCATGTGTGTGACTAGCAAAATGAAAATCTTACAAGTGGGCTCATCTGTATCTTTGCTTGACACTTCTGACTACAGTGATGATGTCAGTCTGCCTTCGGCTTTCTCACTTCCCGGAGTCTCTGTGTCCTTCGGTTCACTCTCTGTTGGCTACTTTGGCAGCTTGTTCCACACTTCTGCCATATTTTCTTTCTGCTGTTTGAAGTCAGCTCAGAGTATTGTTTAAAACCCCCATCTGCTGTCACTGAGGGGTCTTTAAATCAACTGTTCCTTCTATATGAAATAGCCTTTATTTTAATGGAAACTGGACTGAAAATGGTCACACACTCATTGGAATCACTGTCCCAATTGTAGCTGTAAACACTTACCTCCAGTATAAACTGTAAAATGCCTACACAATGCTGCCTTTGTTCTCTGTCAAGTGGAGGAGAGGGATTGCAATGCCAGGGCCACCCTTATTTCAAACACCAACATTAGATTTTTGCACAAGTGGTCATTTTAGAAATTCAAAAGATGTGAATACTGTTTATTTTCATTTAGCGTCTCTAAATTCAGAATAAAAATTAATATATTTTCCATACCTGCTTTTTTTAAAAAATAGTAAATTAAAAGCACACCAAGTTGAGGTTTCTAATAAATTGAATGGGGATTCTGTGTGTATATATATGCTACATAGTACCAGTAAAAATGCACAAACCCAGACACAGCTTCCACTTTCCAGCCTTTAACAATAAATGGATATTTTGACAGAACCCTAGAATTAGTAAACCAGAGGTGTGGACTGATGAACTGTGATGTAAAAGAGTGGCTTTGTTCTTTTAGTGATGCATGTAGATTAACATTAATTTGAGTTATACTGGAAACTCAAAGGAGTTTTAGAAAAAAGATGAAAGGAGGAAAATCAGAGGACAAGTTACACCACTAAGTGCACAAAGCAGAGGAGAGGGGTGTGGGTGTGGCAAGTCTGAGTTTTCTTTATCCTGGAGTAAATCAATTAAATGCTTCCAGATTTTGTTCCTTTCTGCAACAACAGAGATCTGACGTTACCAGAGGAGGCACTTTACACACAACCATCTTTGTTCACAGCAATATTTCTCTTAAGAAGTCTTCAGTACCTTGACAACATCGTGTACATCAGAAAAGATGACAGACAGATAGCAGTGAGATCTCCTTAAATATCTGTTCTGAACAGTGAAATAGCTATTTCTCAAAATGGAAGTTTTACACCTCTTGTGACTAGTCTAGGCACACCTTCACCTTCCAAACAAGGTGATAGCAGAGGTAATTTTGTAATATAAATGGCCTTCCTTTTGCCATTGTAAAATATGACAGGAGTTCTAGGATGTAGGTTAATTATAATGGTCATTCTACTAATGTCACAGTCGTGTCAAAAGTAGTATTATCAATTTATGGTACTAAGTCCAATCTGGCATGTTAATGCAGCCTATTGTATATTTGTCCACGTTCGTCTTGCATGCCTATTAAATAAATTGGTGAGGGTTTTAGGGAAGGCTAAAGACTACCATCTGCCTGCTAGAACAGTAATAGTCTTGCCTCATTATATACTCCTAACCCAGTGGCATCTCAATATGTTTCTTGAATCTATTTGATATACATGCCCAAATTGTGCCCTGATTTACATTCTATGGCAATTCCATTTAAAAGAAAAAAAAAAAAAAAACAAAACACTACAACACTTGCCAGAGGTATAAAGCTAGGCTTGAATTTAGCCTTCCATTTTAAAGCTGAGCCAGGTTTAAATCCTGAAGTGTGCAAAACCAATCTAAAGTTGTGGCAAGATTTAGCTCTTTTGACTTCAGAAGAAGGTAAGATTTAGCTTTTGAGAATCAAATAAGTTTGATAGCGTGGATAGGTAGAATTTGTCATACACCATCCGTTTACTTGTCTCTTTTATATGTTTTCCACCTGGTGCTTACCTCTTTGTCACCTAATGAGTGCATAATTCACACATTTAATACCCAAGGGCACTTGCAAGCCTCACCGTTAGTCTCTGCCAATGTGTTTCATTCACTGAGCTTGCACAATAAGAAAACGGTTGCAGGATTTGGGCTGTAAGTATCACAAGTAACATATTCCCCCCAAGGTACAGAGGATCACCCCCAACATGAAAACGCAGCCCTGAGTGAACCCAGAGGGTGTCTTACCATGCACACAAACCCTCGCCCCACAGGTTATCTCACAGCCAAGCATGTCTAGGCAGGCCACTGGCATCCTCTCCTCAAGACAGCTGTACACTTGGAAGGCAAGTGATTTGTGGAACTGTGTATGTTTAAAGCCACTCATGCATAAAGCTGTCAAATGCCATGTAGACATAGGTAGAGCATTTCTGGCTCAACATATTAACATAGCAAAAGCAAAAGCCATTGACACGTTTTATTGGGAAAGGCATCCTGACTCCCTGGTGTAGCTGAGGTAGTTTAATTCAAGCTGTGGCACTTCTCTGAGGGCTGAGAAATAAAACCCTTCAACCAGGATTTTAATGCAAGCAATGTTGCAAGAAGTCACATATGCAAGTATTGCTGTGCCCGCGAATTGCACTTCAGGAGCATATTAGTCATTTACTAACTATTTTAAACCAGTTAGTCTGCTAAGCTCTGTATTGCGCCGAAACATGAAGGAATACATAGCTGAGTAATGTCTGCAGTTCAGAGTTAGTGCTCTGTGCTGGGTGAGCAGAGGTGGCTCTGCCTGGCCCCTGGGGAGAGCTGGCCTGCTGTGCAGGAACCCTCTGATGTGGTGGCCACTGCTGGCTGGACATCCACCACTCAGTTCCCATCAGTAGTCCTCGGGCTAACTGTAATGCAGTGATGGCTTGGTCACAATCAATACCTAGCTTTCCCTTCTGTGTGTTCCTTTAAGAGAGACTAAGAAGGACTATTTTTTTTTAAATGTAACTTCTTTAGGAAAACACTTTTCTGCATTAACCCTAGTTAAGGCGCCTTTACCTAATCTGCTAAAATGCACAAAAGAATTGTCAATGGACAAAAATACAAAGGATGGAAATGAGAGAAACTGCCACAGAACTTGTTTGTTTCAAGAATTCAACATACCCACACAAAACACTTTTCTGTTGTTAGTAGCCTAATCTGCCAGGACTGGGGTTGGAAGGATAGCAGGAACCTGTAAATTCTATAAAAGAGTCTTGACCATAAATAACTTAATGATTTTGGGATCATTCCGTAATCTCTGTGTTCAATCAGCAGCAGCAGGCAGTAATCCTACAGAAAAAAAAAGTCCACAAATAAACAAACCAATTTTCCTTTAAGAGTAGAGCTAATTCTTTTCAATCCACTTTTTTATTACACTATTCTCCCTCTATCTATTTAGCTAGCATAAGGATAAATTTCCAAAGCTACCCAGTTGGAAAATAAATGGGTTCACTGTTTGTCTAGCATTCCAATCTTCACAAATGTAAATCAGTCCAACTGCTACTCATTTAAACCTCCAACTTCACAAAACATTAAAGGACTGCTTTCAATACACAATTTAATCTGTGACAATTCACCAAGATTTCTTCTTGAACATCATTAGAAATTGACTATCTGATAAAGAGAGACCACTATCAGAGGTCAGGCAGGTCAACCTGTGTCATTCACGTAGTTTTACTGGGTCAACTACAGCAGCCACCACTATTTGAAGGTTAAATTGTTACAATTAAATACATATACAGCTATTCCCATAGCTACTCTGTTGTTAAATCTACCGTAAACAACACAAGCATTTATATCTGATCCTAATTGTGTCCAAGATGTCACCATTTGGAAATTATACAAAAAAGGGCATTATAATCCGTTACACATTAAACAATACTTTATGTAGTGAGATCCATAATTAGCCGGTAGAAACTGGTTTCATTTATTCATATCAGTGTTAAGGGGTTCATTTAGGTTATTTTCTTTCATTTTAATTGGACTAGTGTGAGCCATGCCTCCCAATGTATTTTATAGCTGGAGAGTTCACTATAAACAAAGGCACGTAACCCTGCTGAGGCAGTCACTAGGGAAACTCTTTCTCTATGCATTGGCCCTATTCACTTGCTCCCCAAGTATCTCCAAGAAGATTGGCTTTGTTGGGGGGAAGGGTTGAGGGGGGTGTCGGTGAAGAGCCTTCTTAGATTCGAGCATATTGCTTAGCTGGGAAATCCTGCTTTACTTGAAGTTTGAAGCCAGTCAGCCAGGAGCATTAACATTATGTGATTTTCCTACTCATCAGAGAAAATCAAATGAAATAACATTTTGTAGCAATCAGATCCTTCTGATGCACCTAATAGTATAACAAGGTAGGTATCCTGGTACCGCAGGGAGACAATTGTTAGCTGAGTAGCCAAACTTATAATCAGCTCCTAGAGGAAAAGAAGGAAAAGGTTTCTCTGCATACCCGCCTGTGTGCCTCTGGTTTGCACCACAATATATGTAAAGTTGTGTGTATGCTAGAAATGCTTCTCAGAACCACTGCTTTAAATCAATTCTGGTAAAGTATCCAGCTGGAATATAACAAGAAATTCTTACTGGTGTGCCTGCACAAGACAAAGGTAACATATCTCAGATGATCTCCCTGCTGCATACGACGTCTGCTTTCCTTCTGATTTCTGTGAAAGCAGGATATTCTCACTCAACTCAGTAGCCTGGAATATTTATTCTGTTTTTTCTGTGTGCTAGTGGCCTGATCCAAGACTCCCACAGTCTTCGGTGGGCTTTGAATGGAGACTTTGGCTGGGGAAGAAAAAGTGTTTGAAAGCACTAGATTGTGTTGAAGGCACGGGATTAATTCTGATACCAGAGCAATTCCTCTGCTGGGTTCTCATATACGTGCACGTGTGTCTGCGTGCACTGCAACAGGCTGCAGAGGTGTGAGCTGCCTGGTCAGTGCAACAAAACTGTGAACAACTGTTGTACAGTCCTTACATATAAGATCTTATCACATCATTCCTCTTGAAACTACAGGGTTTTTTTCTTTATTATTGTAATTTCAGATTTTGCGTCGGAGACAAATTTTTCCTGAAGAACAACATGATTCTGTGCCAGACAGACTATGAGGAGGGTTTAATGAAAGAAGGTTATGCACCCCAGGTTCGCTGATCTGATGCCACATCATTAAGAATACAAAGCACTATGTTCCTCTATCTTTTTCGCTCAACATGTATATAAGAAATGACACAGGAACGTACTGAATAGCATAGATATAGGGAGACAGAATGGTTGCGTGAAATAAAAGGCGGACTGCATCTGTATGTAGTGAAAATTGCTCCAGTTCAGAGTTGAATGTTAATTAAAAAGGTACTGTACATACAGCTGGATTCTTTCTGCTTGCTCTTGGGGTTTTTGGTTTGTTCGGGGTTTTTTTTGTTTCTTTTTGTGTCACTTGGCATGAGATGTTTATTTTGGACTATTGTATATAATGTATTGTAATATTTGAAGCACAAATGTAATACAGTTTTATTGTGTTACCATTTGTGTTCCTGTTTGCTTCTTTGTATTGTTGCATTTAGTACAATCAGTGTCTAAACTTACTGTATATTTATGCTTTCTGTATCTACCAGCTATTTTAAATGAGCTGTATCTTTCTAGTAAAAGGCATTAAAGAGCAAATCCCAACCATTATGCTATGCTTAGAGCTTAAGAATACTGTTTACATTAAAACTATTTAGAAAACTAATAACACTAGCAGCACCTGCTGCTAATGATGCTGTGGTTAAGGGTCTATCAGCACTTCTGTTTTAAGCCTCTATTTTTCAGGGGTTAAGCATCTGCTGTTTAATTGCATAGATTTTCCTCAAAGAGCACTTTTATTTTACTACAAAGTTTTGGAAAAAGAAAAAATCTGACCACTTTGGGATATATTATAAAAAGTGTGAAAGTTAACGATTTTGGGTGCTGCTTTTGTGCCCTTAAGCATTCAAAATGCCTGGATTTTATTTTTAATTTAGCTGGAAATTAAGTCCTAATGTAAACCAGTGCCTCTGGGTATCTTATTTTTTATATATATATATAAAAAAT